GATATTTTTGACCAACTAGTTGGATTTTACTAAAACAATTATTCCTCTCGCCCTCATGGCCTCTGAGTCAATTGCCCATTCGGGCTCAGGGAATAATTGTTAATTATTAAATGGCTTAGTATTCTCTAAATTCTCTATAAAAATGTAACTTACATATCTTGTGCCTGGTGTCTCCCATCTTTTTCCTCCAAAATTGTGGGTAGTCTGGTTAGTCTCAATGTATGCTAGTCCCAACCTTTATTAAGACACAAACAGTGAAGTAATAGCTATATTTAATAAGACGTTACCAGATACTTTGAGTAAAATTTTAAGAAAAAAAAATTAATAATTTTTGCATGAATATAAGACCAGGGGGATAGGGAAAATATGCATGAATTAACACATTCACTACGAGGAAAGGATGCCAGCGAGAAATAAGCCAAAAAATTACAAATTTTCAAGATAGAAATATAAATATACTACGTACACACTTTTGACTAGTCAAAAGCATAATTAGCAATTACCTAAATGAAAAGTCATCCTAACAAAAGGTTAATACCATAGAATTATCAAAACGGTAAATGAGGATCCTTGTGTAACCCACTGGCTAGATGTCCTGCAGTTTTTATGCTCATGATGCATTAGTAGTGAGCTTACATCTTGTAAGACTAGACTTAAAACTCCAGCAACATGGCATTAGGTAGGGGACAAAAATCACAGGACACCCAACCAGTATATTATTACACTTGTAAAGCCAAAAAGAGCACTCCGATCCTCGTCTATTGTCTGTTGTATTTATAGTGAGGTGTAATCCTTATAACCACCTGTATAACAGCTGTTCAAAATGTCTGATTACTAAAATATGCAGCAGGGTGTGCCTTCGTGTTCTTCTTTCATGTTCTTTTGATTTAGGAAGAGGAGAACAAGTGCCAAGTGTGACTCGAGCCCCTGTCGAAAGACGGATTGTTTCAGGTGGACAAATTCCAGTAACCTTTGAACTTTGAATGTGTTTTCAAGTCACAATGGGCAGCAATAACATCGCAAATATCTTGCAAAGGCATTACATACAATGCTTTCCGCATATTGTCACACTCTTGCAATGAAAACTTTTTGCTTTACATTTTCATGTTAAAAACAGTCAGGCGTGCTTTGAAAGTCTGGGACAAAGTGTGAAGAACACAAACCCAATTTGCACTCCTTCTTTTTATAAAACTGTTATTTTTTCCGGCCCAGTGCTACTCATACTGAATATTCTTATTTTTCTACCGATTTGAGAATGAAAATATTCTTGTATTATTCTTAAATTTCTTAAATATCGTTTCCATTTTAGCATGTATTGGTCACCGTTCATAGAACTACTATTAGCATTTTAGCATTTGACATGTTATTCACTAACTATCCCGACTGGTTTTTACTGCCCCCAGAACTGAAATTGTAATCTTTATCTAACGCTCATCTGGGGGCATGTTAAATGCACAGCATCTCAAAATGGTGCAATCCCTCACATTAACCTCGAAGTATATATTCAATTGAAGCTACTTCCAAGTCTTGTTTACAGTTATTTAAAGCAATGTTCTTATTTTGCTAAAAAAAGTAAAAATGATGGAGCCATACGGAGAAACATGCTATTTATGGACCCGGTCTTAGATTCGTTTCCGTTTTACATGAGAACGGTACAGTGTCGGACCTGTACGAAAATAACTCGTGTCGGGTCAGCGACCGACACGAAGTCAGACCGCTCTGAGTTCGTTTTTAGGCCGGTCCCATGCAAACGCATGAAAAGAAATGTGTATATGGAGAGCGATACGAACTAATACCGGTCCGAGTTCGTCCCGGTCTCATGTATTAACCCTACCCTGTTCAAAGGCACCCCTTTGCTTCTGGTTGGCACATGAAAGAGGCTGTGTCACGACAGTCCAGTTCATTTTGTTTAATTTTGCCAATTACCCGCCCTCAATCGCTATGGAACTTAAAGTAAGCAAAGAAATTTGAGATACCAGTATTCACCATTTTCACATAGACCATAATGCACCTTGTCTACCCCCCAGACTTTTGCATAACCATTGTTTCCAATTTTTCCTGGTTATTACAGTCGTCCCAAGAGAAATCGAAGATAATGTAATGCAAAATTTTGGCAAGTAAACAAGGTGCATTATGGACTATGTGAAATTGGTGAATATGGAAGACAAACCATGCGGCATTTCTCATGAATTTGTATTCTGTAGATATTTTAACGTCCATTTTGTCGCTTTGCCGAGCAATTTCTTTTCTTTTGTGGACAATTCCTTGTAGATTAGGCGGCACACCCGGCTATGAGTAACTGTTCAAAGACGCTACTGAACTTTGTGAACTCAGCCGCACAATATTTTTGCATAACTACTCAGAGCACATCAACCGTTTCCAAAGAGTGTTTTCAATTGACATCACATCCGCCATATTGGTGTTCCTAACCCTTCACAAAGACTACAATGCACCTTGTTAAACCCACCCACCCTCCCACCCACCCCCCCCCCCCCCTCTCCCACACCCAAGAAAAAAAATGCATAACCATTATCTTCGATTTCGCTTGTCGACTCGTTCTTGGAGACTTAGGGGTAGATAGTGGGGGCAAGGGAAAGTCTAGTTGACTGTCAACCCAGGAAAAGTGGAACCAATGATTATGAAAAATTGGAGGGGGGGCTGGGGCAAACAAGGTGTACTTGTTATGGCTAAGTTAAAATGGTAATTTTTTTGAAAATACTGGCTTATCGTTTTTGCATAGATGAACGAAAACGGAGGTCATAAATACGATGATCCCATTCATCATACAGCGTATGCTGTGTAAGGGATGCTATCATGCTATCGCATTTCCACCGCTTTAGCGTTTAACCAGCGGAAACCGGAAACGGCGCCGGCTTTGGGAAAGTAAGGATGGGCGAAAACGATTCGAATACGCTACGTGAATACGCGTATTTTTTTTTCGAAAACGGAGAAAAAAAAATAAGTGAGGACGAGGCCACAGTTAAATGAAGACGAACCCTCCGGGAGTTGAATTCGTAATAAATTTATTCAAGTTCGACAAACTGAACAAAAAAGAAAGTTGTCGTCGGTTTTTTACTATGCCGATGTGACGGTGAAATCTTGCAATTTCACGTCGCAGAGGTGCAGTGCCAACAAAGAAATGCACCAGAACGTGTGCTGCACTTGGCAAATTTGTTGTTTTGCTAATCTAAGCCCATTGCGTTTTTGACGTTTTCGTTGTCGTCAGCGTCGTCGACATCTTAATCTCCCTAATAGCATCATTTCTACCCCATAGAAGACACTGGGGGGTTATTTAGTTGTGAATATTTGAGTTGGTTAGTGAGAAAATTATGATTGGTATGAAAGTGATGTTGTTTGTTGATTAAAGTAACATTTCAACCGCTTGTAGGAGTTATGAGTGCTAGTGAAAATGGTGCTCATAACCACGGTATTTAGTATGGGTGACTTGTTATTTGACATTACTTCAATAGCTCTTTTTTTGGATGCTTCAGTTAGTCTATTAATAGATGGCAATTGAAAACGGCCAACACTGTGGCAGCTATTATATAGAAATGTAAACAAAAAGAGAAAGAGCAATCAAGTCTGCTCTTTGTACTTAGTCAGAAACTCATAAGGGGTATTTAGTCTAATAAGCTCCTGAAGTCAAGGTAGTTAAATCTAACAACAGCTGTACAAGCAGCTATGGCCGGCAGAAATTAACCTTCCCTTCGAATCTAGTTGTGCTTTTAATCAAAGATTTATATTTTGTTTTTTGTCGCCACATTGTCTGATTGTCATCTTTGGATATAATGGCTGAATGAACAACGACAAAGAAAACTGCCTTCTTACCTGTGGACTGTTTAAAAAGCCGATGGGTGAGGAGTTATTTTGGCCTCAAACGTCTGCTCGATATCACGCTAGGAAAGGTTAGGCGCAGCTTCTCGGGCTTAATAAACTATCAAGAGTTACCAAGATTTCTACGATTTGGAGGTAACAGTAGATATCTTTGACTCAAAGGCAAGTTAATGTGCATAACCTATGCTACATCAGATCAGAGGGAAGCAGAAACGTCATATTTAAGTTACAACGAATGTGAACCCACTGAGCTCAAACAAGGAAGTGAACTGTATTTGTCGTAGTTTACGCTTCCAATATGAGCATACCATGGCTAAACAAGAAAGAATCGTGCAAATCTTTTAAGGCTGAACCTGCTTACTAGATCGCAATACTGAATGGTTAGGTTTGTTGCGATGAGCGTTTCTAGTTCCTGACCACAGAACTGCGACGGTCTTGTCGTATTGAGTTTATATATGGTTAAAGGCCAAACTCTATACTAGAAACTAGTAGATCGTAGACAACCGGCCTCAAATGATTTGACATAGAGAATTTACGCTACAATCAATTTTCTATGTTTCGTAGTGTTTTAGTGAGTTACTATTTCATTTTTAAAAAATCTGAAAAACTTATTAACATCTGGGATTTAAGAATGAGTAAGCAATATTTTTATCAAGGCCGAGCAGGCTTTCTTAAACAAAGTTTAAGTGGTGTGCGCTGGTAACATATTTCGTATAGCTCTGTCGCGACGTTGCCAACATGCATGAGTAAATTGATGCGCGACAACTAGCGACTATTACATGTTTTGTCCGGAAAAAATTAGTCCCTTAACAAAACACCTTTCTGATGCTGGTCTTTCCTAAATCAACCCTAGATTAAAAAATTCAGTATTCCCCTTCAGAAAGATTTCCTTTTCAGCTTTGGTTAACGTGGCCTGCTGCTGTCGTATTTTAGTAAAATTCAGCTAGGGGTCTGTTATCAATGCTGCGTTCTGGTTGGTTGAGCTACTACTAGGCTATATGTTAAAGCCCACTAGTAGCGAAAAGCGCCGGCTTTTTGGCGGCAAAAAAGGATTTAAATCTAGCTTTAACTAGCTAATTTTTTTTATTCTCTATATTTTTGACCAACTAATTGGATTTTACTAAAACAATTATTCTTCTCGCCCGGTGGCCTCTGAGTCAATAGCCCATTCGGCCTTTGGCCTCATGGGCTATTGACTCGGAGCCCATTCAGGCTCGAGGAATAATTGTTAAATACTATGAGCATAGTCATTTTTGCATAACCCCCTCTTTAACTTGAACGTAATTGGAGGTTTCTATTTGAGAATTTGCGGCCACGCGTTTTTTTATTACACCATTTCAATTCTTTAAATTATTAAAACATCAAAAATTAAGTACCTTGTTAACACACCTAACAGGCCAGTTTCAAGTTATTAAAATGGAATTGTTAAAATTTTAATATTTTTCTAATTATTAAAATCACATTAAGATTCAGGGATGAACAATTAATTTCTTTTGTGTTTTTTTTCCTCATCAGCCCTGGAGCCCAGTATGAATTTTGATAATTCGAAACTAGCTAGTTAGCTGCCCCACGTACTCTTATTACATATATTAAGACCTATTAAGTCTAAGCACCCAAAATGCGAACTCTCTCCTCCGCATAGCTTCCCGCTGGGTTTCCCAATAAAAATAGCAATAATCGAAAAATAGAAAGCGCTTGCCCTAACCCTAAGCCTCTCTTCCCTATTTACCGTTCCCATCGTGGCCCGCGCGCTCTCTCTTTCTTTCTCCCCAGCCTCGCTCCCTACAACACATAAGAGGCCTCTGTGGAGGAGAGAGAAATGCTGTCGCCCACGGTCATGATTTTCCTAAATTTTCCATAAGTCTGTTTTAAACCTGATTTCAAGTTTCCATAAAATTTCCGTGACAACAACTTCTAATTTACGTAAAAATGAAATGATCAGCATGTCACGAACGTGGGGCAAAGAAAAAATCTGAGTCCTCGTTAGGATTCGAACCTATGTCCTCCCAAACACCCGGCGGGTGCTCTATCCTCTGCGCTACGGAGAACTCGTGGAAAGCAAGGTCATATAATAGGTTCGTATTTGACACGCGTCCTGCATACTGCTATCAGCAATGTCGAGATCGCACTGTATGTGTATGATGAACGAATGAAAGATGGTGGATTTAAGGCTCGGTGAAATAAATGTGAAGATGAAATAATCAGCATGTCACGAGCGTGGGGCAAAGAAAAAATCTGAGTCTTCCCCGACAGGATTCGAAACTATGACCTCCCAAATACCGGGCGGGCGCTCTATCCACTTGAGCTACGAAGAACTCAAGGAGAGCGAGGCCAATTATACTAGGCTCATATTTGACACGCGTCCTGCATACTGCAAAACTTCTAATTTAGTTACAGCTCAAATATTGGAACTATATCTTCAATGAATTCTAATTTGTCTATTTTATTGAATTGTTCTCTACTCAGGTATGGATAAAATGCAATGGGCTCGTGGTTTGTTCCCATTCCTAAGTAAGTCATGAGCAGTCGGTGGTAAAATGCTGAGAGTTCAGGGACACCCAACGACGGTTTCCTCCTAAAAACATTTAAAACACTTTTTAGGCTATCCAGAGTACTTTAAGAACTCTTTAGAAATGCATTCTGAGAGACGCAATAAAAATTGTATCTACTTGGTCATTCTAAGGCAATTTGAGTCTTCTCGAAATTACAAGAACTTTAGGGTTCAGTTTCCAGAAAATTTTAGATGCAGTTTAAAGTTTTACCAAAGTGAGACTTTTACGGTTTCTTCTCTCCATCACATTTTCGAATCCGAAAATTTTAGGTTTCCTTTTCCCACGAAAAATAACAACCTGGGGAGTTGAATGCGAAAAATTAATTTCAGAAAATCGTCGGGGATTTACTAGACTACTATTTACTAGCGTCGAAAGTTGTACGTTAACGGAACGGTCATCTAGATATTTTTAGTCGTCTTCAAGAAAAGTCCAGACAATTTTTGCTTCTCCAAACATGTCGTTTGGGTGCCCTAAGACAAGACAAGACAAGAAAGACAAGACTAATCAAAAGAATTGACGACAACGTAGAGTTACCGAAAGCTAGTACCGTAGTAACCTTCTTTCGTTTATAGGGTCTAATAACAGTTGTAAAGATAGGGAATTAAAATTCAGTCTCAATTCTTTGTTTATTCCAACTCGCATAGAGACTTTTTATTCATTTTTAAGTGTGCCCCCATCCTTTATCTGAAGGTCTGGGTCCGCCACTGCACCCACATACAAACAGTATCAAAAATTACGTGTATTGTCTTTGATAACAGCTACCTTTGTGTTGATGACATCTGCCTCAGTGTTATCATCAGATCATACAAACAGCAAGTCGAGGGGTCTTTTGGATGCAGCAGTGAATTCAAATGAGGTAAGCCAAAATACAGCAGCTGTACCTTCATCGTCTTCTCTGTCGATGTCATCCTCAAAAGATTTTCATTCAATTACTTTGGCCATAAGAAGTTCGCCATTTGAGGTACTGAGCGCTGGCATGGCTAACAAGCAAACTATAACCCCCTTAACGTTGGTCTCGTCTGTGCTGGTGACGTCATCAGTTCTTGTGTCAACGTCAGTTGTTCTTTCAAGCGCTCTATCCAGAAGTTACCCATCATCTGTCGCCACAATGAGTTCGAATCTGATCACAGAACAAGGTACATCCGCACTGCCCTCGGTGTCTTCCTTAATTGTGTTATCGTCAGCTATTTCTCTGAGCAGTTTACCACGAGGTCATTTGTCATCTGTTGTAATGAACACTACTCTGGCAATAGATAAAAGTTCGCCTGAAACACCTTCACCATCTTCTATGCTGCCTGTATCTTCAACAGTGGTTTCGCAACAGTCAGGTACGCTATTTTCAGATGATCTCATTGAGATACAACGAACATTACACTCGAACCTCCACGTGCGACCACATCTTGTAAGCGACATCCTCCTCTAACTGACCATGTATCCAAACTGCCAAAATTTTCTCAGTCAGAACCCTATAATTGGAACCTTTCTAAAACGACCACCTCGTATATGCGACCGCGAGCACCTTTTGATTTAATAGTTTTCCGTTGTTTTTGGACCCCCTGTAAGCGACCACTCGACGCTCGACCACTCTATGTTCGCTGTGCGTACCACGCCACTCAGATTATATGAAGTAATTTAATTTCAACAACATGGAATAACAAGTGTCCGTAACTTGCGAATTCCAGGCAATTAATTCGCTGCTCTGCAAAATAGGAAGATGTAAAAACCTCAGAGTAGTGGTGTCTGAGGAGAATTAGCAGAATTTTTGGACAGCAAAAGGGCAAAGAAATTTAATGAAGAGCTCGAAGAAGATAATCTGCATCTAGACATGATAATTTGGCCCAGTATTACAACAAATTAAGCTACTTTTCGTTGAACTGATTTGGCTGATTTTTTCTGGTGTTTTCTTCAGGCAGCCGAGCCAGATTTTTACGCCATCTGACTCTGAAAGAATAGAATGCTTGACTGCATGGAGGGTTCTCAATGCGTTTTGTGGAAAAATTGAGAGAATTGTAATTAAAGCTTTTAATTGAAGGAGAAAATTTCTGGGGACGAGGTCTAGATGCAAACTTACGCTTCGTTTACACGGCACCGGACGAATTTTCGACCAGTTGAATATGCGTGCGTTTAGGATATCTGTTAACAGAACAGTACAAAATTTTGATAGCCAAAACCGAGGTCAATCTTTAGCCGGTAAGGCCGTGTTAGTTATTTTAAATTTGCCGGAAGGATCATATGGCCTCACTTCCATGCAACTTCCGGTTTTTCACTGGAATCGGAGTAGTGTAACATTTCTTTGGTTTTGTGGGTTTTATTTTCGCTGAAGAAGGCTCTCCTGCAAGAGCCAAATATGTACGGCGAGCAGTTGAGTTTGCGGTTAAACTTCCTGATGTAAGAAGAACGCGAAAGCAACGCGATAGATGCTGGCCTCTTGTTGGGCATAAAATTATTTTTTTGTGCCAAATCACAGACAAGCATTCAAATAAGTCGTGAAACTGGTCGTCAAGAATAGCATCCCAGCGGCGCTCTCGCCCGTTCTTGAAAACTTTCGTCGCCGTTTTTCCTGACTCAACTGACCGCCCCTGGGTCTCCAAGGATGCTTGTACCAAAGTAATAATGATAATAATTTTTACAAGTACCCACAAACATATTTCTCATAGTTAAAGTTGCGTTGCCGATGAGTTTTCCTGATGTAGCTGTTGTTCACATGGGCTTTCATAACAAAGAAAGAGAACCTGGCAGAACAAATCTTCATGTTAAATTAAGCGCAGGCGCTTAATACCCACTAAAATGTTCGTTTGAGTCACCGAACAGACTCTTAAAAACATCGATCGCAAGAAGGCAGTCGATCGTTTGTGACTTGTTCACAATATAATCTAGATAAATAAAAATTTTTTTTTCCAGAAAAAGCTTCTGGTGCATCCCAAAGTTATTACAGTCCTTCCGTCCCGCATTTGGTTTTGATCTAATTCCTTCCCACGTTAACTAGATTCTTTCTTTAAAGAGGTATAATTCTAATTATCCTCAATACTTACGCTCAGTCCATTTATATTGCTTGCAGTCTGTCCCAATATGGTAACCCTCAATGAGATTACTCTTTGATTTTGCACTATAAAGCTAAATCATAGTTTATTTCCTCTTGTTGCAGCTTGTACCTCTGACAAATACCTTAATGGATTTAGTGGATTCTTTTCAACTCCAAATTTTCCAAGTAACTTCTCTCAGTACAGCACATGTATCTGGAATATCACAGTTCCCAGCGGGTACATCATTAAACTCAGCTTCGTCTACTTTCGATTGGAGCCACGCCAGTACAGTCCCTGCTATCATTATGCTCCAGGAGCCCGTGTTACAATAACAAATGTTGTTTCAGATGATGGGCATCAGCCGTTCATGCTGTGCGGTCAGTTCCTTCCTCATCCAGTGTACTCGGTAGGAAATTCCGTTCAAGTCATATTCACGTCTCTGAGCAGTCAATACCCAGGGTTTAATGCAACTTACACGGCTATAACGTATAGTTCAGGTACGTGGTATACATTATTTACAAGACATCAACGACTGAGTTAAGATTAATAAAACATCACTAACAAGAACTCGCCCTATAAAACGTGATCCAAGAAAGTCTTGAATTCTGGATTCCACGGTGTGGACTCTGGATTCCAGGAACTGGATTCCGGTTGTCAGTGGCAGTTAGATTCCGGATGCCAGTCATAAGAGAGCTTCCGGATTCCTAAGGTAGAATTGTTTTACCGATTCCGGTATTCGAGTTACATTACATTGGGGGAAACGACAGTCATAAACAAACAGGCAAAACTTAAAACAATTACATTTTATGGAGCTACTCACACTATCAGGCAATTCTTCTTTTGCCTAGGGCGATTCGTGAAGCTCTCCTTTGTACCTTCTCAATTTCATGGATGTCTTTAGCTAGATGTGGTGACCACACCGGGCTAGCGTATTGAAGGATCGGAGGGACTTATACAAAATTAAAAAAATGTCCTTATTTTTACTCCCTACTGTGTGTTTAAGTAAGCCAAGAACCTATGTTTGCTTTATGAACGGTTCCATTGACATGTTTTGTCCAGGTCAGGTCATTTGCCATGATAACTTTAAGATATTTATAATTGGATACATTTCTTAACTCAGTACCCGAGACTTGGTACCGTCTGGTACTATTGTCTTTATTATGAGTGATTCTCATGACCTCACATTTGTTAGGATTAAATTTTACCTGCCAGAGATCCGCCCATAGATCAAGGGCGGTTAGATCAGATTGTAAAGCAATAGAATCTTCCACTTTGTTTATCTGTCTATAGATTTTGGTATCGTCAGCAAATAACTTGGCGGTAGATGTAATAATGTTATGTATGTCGTTCACGTAAATAAAGAACATAATCGGACCCAGGATTGAGACATGAGGGACGCCAGATATAACGGGCGACCAATCGGAATACGATCCACGTATCTGTACTCTTTGTCTTCTGTTGGTTAAAAAATTCCTGAACCACAGGTACAGTTGCCCGTCTATACTGTACCTATTGAGCTTTAAAAGCAGGCGCTCATGGGGGACACTGTCGAACGCTTTCGAAAGGTCCAGAAATATAACATCAGACACCTTTCCAACAGTTCCTTCTTATTGCCAGTTTGATTTATACGGCGGCAATTTAACCAAAACTTTAATTGAGCATCGGTCAATCTTTCTATCTCCTCTTCACTAAAGCCAGCCTGGAGTAAGATCGACTTGGTCGTCCGCCGTGTTAGTTAATTTAAATTTGCCGCAAGGGCCATTAAGCCTCGCTTCCATGTAAATTCCATTTTTTTTTCTGTAATCGGAGTATTATTATTGCTGAATATTATTATTGCTGAAGAAATCTCTTCTGCAAGAGCCAAACATGTACGGCGAACAATCGAGTTTGCGGTTAACCTTCCTCGTGTAAGAAGATCGCGAAAGCAACGCGATAGATGCTGGCCTCTTGTAGGGCACTAAATTATTTTTTGTGCCAAATCACAGACAATTAATCGAGCAAGTCGTGAAACTGGTTCCTCAAGAGTAGCATCCCTGGGTCCTCTCTCCCGTTCTTGAAAGCTTTGGACGCCGTTTTTCCTCCCTCGACTGCCCGCCCCTAAGAACATATTTCTCATAGTTAATGTTGCGTTGTTTGTGAATTTTCCTAATGTAGCTGTTGTTCACATGAGCTTTCATAACAAGGAAAGACAAACTGAACGACAGAACAATTTTTCAAGCCAGAGTAAGAGCAGGCACCTAATACCGACTAAATTGTTCGTTTGAGTCACGGAACATCCTCGGAGACCCAGGGGCAGTCAGTCGGGTAAGGAGAAAAGGCGGGACGAAAGTTTTCAAGTACGTGTACGAACTCACGAACAGAACTCAGTAGAAACTGTTCGCCGATTGGGCGCAATAATACAAAGCATTTTTTGTGCCCAATCAGGAGCCAGCATCCGCTTGAATTTTTGGAAATAGCTCGATGAGAGTCCGTACCCACGGGCTCTTTCACCCGTACTTGAAAACTTTCGTCCCGCCCTTTCTCCGGACCGGACTGACTGCCCCTGGGTCTCCGAGGATGGTCACGGAACGGACTCTTAAAAACATCGTAGGAAGGCAGTCGATTGTCTGTGAATTGTTCTCAATATAGTCTCGATAATTAAAAAAGGTATTCCTGAACAAACAAAAAAGCTTCTGGCGCATCCCTAGATTATTTAGTCCTTCCTTACCACATTTGGTTTTGATCTAATCCCTTCTCACGTTAACTAGATTCTTCCTTGAAAGCGGTATAATTCTAATTATCCTCAATACTTACGCTCAATCCATTTATATGGCTTGCAGTCTGTCCCAATATGGCAACCCTGAATGAGACATCAGGAGTTCTTACCAGTCCTTACTATCCAAGGCGTTACCCTTCTAACGAGAAATGCAGCTGGAAAATTATAGCAAGTAAAGGAGAACGCATTGTGTTGGTCATTAAATACATTTATATTCGCAACTGTGGTTCATCTTGCACTTGTGACTACCTGGAAATAGAAAATGGATCATCCTCTGATGGCATTTCAGGCAGGCGAAGATGTGGATACTATAATGAACGTGGGACAGTATATTAT